GGTTGTAAAGGATAAAGAACTTGATTTTCCATTATATAAGTATACGAAAAGATTTAATAGATCTTTTTTTTTTTTTTTTTTTTTTTTTTGAAGAGCAACTTTTTAGATCCTTCTCACGAGCAAGAATAAAAAGCAGATGATGAGAGAAGACCTCAGAGAATTTATTGAGAAAAATTCTTTTCACTTCAAGGTTTTTCTCTGCCCTAGGGGATTAGTTTCTGACATTTTTATATATAAAAAATAGCCGCACTAATTGTAGTACAAATTATTTCCCACTTAACACCAACCAGATGGATTCGATGACGATTTAATGCAATGCGTATATATATTGTGAACTGTTCCGAACCTCCGGTGTACTTTAATAATTATGCAGTCAAAAGTAGAATAACAAATTAACAATAATTGACAGGCTAAACTTGCTTCAAGTACTCCGATCTAGAAAAGAATTTTTTTCTATTTTTTTTTTTTTTTCTTTTTTTTCTTTAATGGTTTTGGGGCTGTGGTAAAATGACAAAGTCGGTCACGGCCGAATCATGTAAATATTAAACTAAAACGTCTACTTGCATATCCCTCCAAAAATCAAAGAAATAACACTGCATGAAATTACCTAGCCGATCAAATACAGAAAATTTGCCTTTCTTTATTCTTTAACAAACCTTGGCTAAGAATGTGGATCTTGAACCTAAACTAACACTAAATTGAAATCGTAAATCTGTGGTCAAACTATGGCGTTACAAATCTTGTTACCTGAATAGTAAGATCGACTATTCTTAAGCAAAAATAGGAATAAATTTGGATTATTTATCTGTGCACTACTACCAAAAGATAAAAGGATACAAAAATTTCAAAAAAAAATAAGGTGGTATGACTCGATAAATACATTTGTTAAATATTACGAAATAAGATTGGTGATGGTTTTATGCGGGATGTCTTTCATTGAATTATATGATTGGCGAAAAGGAAATCGGATAGTTTTGATTGGTGTGTTTCTTTTTTTTATATGACCAGGCGACAATCCCCCGCTATTTATATAAAACAATCATCTGAAACTTGTCGCGTCAAAAAAAGTCCGCAGTTGCTGAACTTGAAACATGATTTGTTCTCTGAAAAAGGTTACAAACCTCACATGACATCATCACTATCATTTTGCTGACCCGATGTTTAATTTATGATATTTTAATTTCGGTGGTCAGTCGAGCTATATAAACCTAACATTTCAATTGGTGTACTGATTGAAATGAACTACACTATATATGATATACAAATGAGCAAGTTTTTCTATGAATGATGTATGCGTTTTGATCAGTCAGATTACCCCTCGCATTTTGTCGCATGTAGTACCGTTTCGGGGCGCATATTATAGACACCCACAAAATGGGTTCACGGAAGTAACAAATTTAGATCTCTTAGCCTCCCTTTTGATCCTATCCCCCCTTCCTCTTCACCAGATTAAAGTTTTTAATTTTATCCACGTGGCGTTTCTCGTGAAAAAATTGTAATACAGAAAAAAACATGTATATATAAATAATAATTATAATTATCTATATTTACACACACATATATATATATATTTATATTTTATACATATATATTTCACGACCTTTAAAAAATAAAAAAATCCTAATTAAGGTCTGCAGAATGTAAATAAATAATATGAAAGGTAACACCAAAATATGTTGTTAGTATAATTTTAGATAATTTATTTCTTCGATATACATAGTAGGTAGATATATACATATATATATATATACATATATATCAATATATATATATATATGTATACGTATATATACATATATATATATATCGATATATATACTTATATTAATACACATATATATATATATATATATATCAATATTAACTATATATTATTCAATTACAGTATACGAAACAGTATAACGATTGATTCAATTACAGTATAACAGTATAACGATGATTCTAATAATAACGATAATAATGATAATGCTTGTGTTTTACGTATTATATCACAATGTTTGCTTACATCTTACTATGCGACATTTAACACTAATTATATTTGGTGATACTTTTCGTATTTTATAATAATATTACTCATGCTCTAATCTTCTTTTTTTTTGGTTCCCTATCGATCGACCGACTGAAAAGGCTGAAAAATGTCATTTAACAAACAATGCAAATCAAGTTGGAGAGAATTTCCAAGTATTTGGTAATAATGTATTTACGTAAGTAACTTGCTGCACCGGAGCAATTAAAGGTCACACTATCGTTTATGATGACATTTAAGAAATCTCGGTTTTATTTATTGCCTAAAATTTTTACCTTTAGAACATTCTAGGATTATTTTACCTTTGCTATATACCAAATGTGTGCATGAAACGAATACAGCCATTTCTCTATAATCATCCTTTCTTCGTAATACTTTGTCATTATTCTTTAAAACGTGATTTATTGGTACAACTTCCTATATCAAAGTTTCAAACTTTTATTTGTTATGTGTGCTTGATTGGACAGTTATGATCGAAAATAGTCTAACTGATACAACACGCAAGTAGGAGAAATGTAATTAAAGTTATATATATACTACATAACGCATCTTCATTTACTTACATATATTGCCTTATTGTATTTGCAAACATGTGATTTCCAAATAACTACTGTAAAGTGCCGACTTGTATCCCCCCATGAGTCGTACCCGGTTGATTTTAATTTATATCCGAATAGTACTCATACTATGTCTTAAAGAATAGTAATCTTATATTTTTGATGAATAAAAAAAAAAAATTTTTAAAGACTGACAAAGCAAAATATATTTCGGGTACATATTACATCTTAGTCTTTGTAACTACAGGGTTACTCGGATACATTAGTCAGCACTTTACGGTAATTTTTTCGGATATTGTTTGAAACATATATGTACAATAGGAAACAATAACATTCGTAATTTTATAATTTAAAAATATTAATTTCCTTTAATTGCCTTTAATTGCCTTTAATTGCCTTTAATTTCGGATTACATAATCGTTTAATAATTATTTTTTCACCACCTTACATTATTTCTTTGTAAAAAGGCGTTTTTTTTACTTTCACTTAAAAAAATAAGACTAAAGTTCAGATTTGAATTATATTAATACGTAAGTTTATTTAATTTATTTAATTTACATTATTGACATACAAAAATAATAATAATTATGAAGGAGATGCTACAGGGATAAATTTGTATTTAGTATAATTCAAGTTCGAGCTGTAAGGCAAAATACAATATATTATTAATATGTTAAGAAAATAATACGATATCAAATCTTGATTGATTAGGAATGAATTAAAAATGCTCAAAAAATGCTCAAAAAAAAAAAATGGATACAAATAAAAAGGAAATTTTTCGTGGATCCCGGAAATTAAGTCCATTTATGTTGTATATGTTCTGGTTTTCATTATCTAAAAATATACATATTTCTTCAACAATCTATATAAGAATACGTCTGAATTAGTATATATACTTTTCCTAATTCTCTTTTTTTTTTCATCTTACCTTCTCGTAATGTGATCGTGTACATAAGGTTGATGTATATATTGTTACGCAGGCGAGACAGTTATCATACCAATTGCTCCTTGGATTGAAAGCTTTTGCCAAAAGCTCATTTAATCTATTGATTGTTTGTCTAAATTGTATTGGAGTTATCTATAATGATATCATAAATAAAGAATTCAAATTAATCAAATTAATCAAATTAATCAAATTAATCAACTTAATCGCGTTAATTTCAGTTATCTACCCTCCAAAAATATATATATATATATCTATATATATATATAATTTCCAAAAATATATCATATCATTTCTAAAAAAATTTATAAAATTACCCGTCCTTCAATTTCTATAGGAAATGTTGTACGGAACTGACACATCTCTCCACGAGAATAATCTCTTTCTATTCGAACAATCCGTTTTGGTACTATTAATTTAGAGGTATTTATTGTCGATGTTAATGTCTCAGGTGGTGCTGTTTTATAAGGGTCAGATGGTGAAGTTGGGAGTGATTGAAAGGTGTCTATGCTGTTTTTCGGTGAAGTGGAAATGTCTATCGGTACATTAGCTACAATTGCTGAAGTATCCGTTGTGCTACTTTTGTCACCTACAGCAACGTCCTTTTGCGTCGCTGTCGATGAGATCGTATTATCAGGTACTGAATCCTCTCCTTCAACTACTTCCTTCCTCTCCCCCGCATCCTTTTGTTCATTTTTACATGAAATTACCTCTTCCTCTGCCACATTGTTTCGAATATTTTCCTGGCCAACAACGTTGTCCATTTAAAGGGGAGAGATGGTGAAAAGAACACTGACAAGTATTTATCAGTACATAATAAAAGTATAAAGTCAAAAAAAAACAACTATCTTGGTTAGTGAAATAGTAAATAATTGCACAATGCAAGTCTACGTCACTCGAAATAAATTACTAAAATAATTACGGTGGTAATTAGCATTATCGTTATAAATAGCAGATCAAATAGATTATCATATTAAAAAAAAACGTTAGCTTTTTTCTTGCCTAAATGTCAATACTACTTTCGAGCAGGCTTCTTACAACTTTTAAAATTATACAATTGAATAATGATAAACCACCCAAATTATTTAGAAAAGTTTTGGAACTATCTTTCTTTAGTAGGAACGCTAGAAAAAGAAAAATAGCTGTACAATTAATCCAACCGCTTTCGTCACTTGGAAATAAAGGTTTTAAAGAACTTTTACTATTATTATAAACTGAATGTATTATTATTATAAACTGAGTGTATTATTATTATAATTATAAAATTATTTATATCTTTATGAGTATAGGGGACGTTGTAAAGGTTTCTCCAGGTACAAAAGAATAAATGCTCATATGTCTTAAAAGTAATAAATTATTAAATTTATTTTTCATCGAATTATTCATCGAATTTATAATTAAGGCTATATGAGGCATAAATTATATCCTGATCGAATTGCCAATTACTATATACCCAAAGGACCCAAAGAAAATAAATCTGAAGATGGTAAAAAGCAAATACATCTTCTCGCCAAAGGTGGACAAATTACCCTAGCATTATATGGTCAACCTTATAAATCTGTAATGTATTTTTTTTTTTAATTTATAATTTTTCCATTTTAAAAATTTTCTAACAATATTTCCATTTAAAAAATTTTCTAAAAAATTTTATCATTTACATTTACAATATCAAGGGCAAAAAATTACGTGAATCTGATGACGATCGATATGTCATGCAATATTTTCATGAATTACAAAAAACACTTTCAAAATTGAATCATTCACGTCATTTAATTTTTCAACGTGAATCAGCAAATGATCCTAATGATCTTTCGATCCTAAAAAAACCGGTTACGCGTGATGATATTATCAATCAGATTAAGGAATCTCTCAATTTATCCATAAACATTAATGACATTGAATTTCAGCAAGATATTTCGGATATGATTCAAAATTCAGGAAATTATACCTGTTTTGTGATGTTTCGTGAAATTGAACATAAAGTTCCATTGAAAATAGTGGTTCAACCTTTTTCTGAAAATTAAAAAAAAAAAAAATGTATATATATATATATATATAATGTTTTACAAAAACAGAATCTTTTTCATTAATTTTATTAATCTCAGGTCTTAATTGTTAATTAGTCACATTCATAATTATTATTATTATTATTATTAATCGCATTTTCCTTGAATTAATAAAACTAAAATCATAGAAGTCTTTTTTTGTTCATAAAAATTATATATGATGTTACAAATATTATGTTATTAAATTTTGATATTCACAATTTGAAACCCAATTAAATTGGTTTCAAGTTATTATTATGACCAAATATCTATAATTAAAATAATGCAGCAAAAAGAAATGATTTGTCTAAATACAATAATACAGAAGTAAAACTAA